TCACTGCTTGTTTTTAATACTTTACATTATTGAGTGTGCCACTGTGTGCTCACTGCTTGTTTTTAATACTTTACATTATTGAGTGTGCCACACGGCTTACTTTTCTCAAAATTGAAACTCATATCTCACAGAACAGTCATAAAACAAGATTTTCTAAAATGTTTAATATCTTTGTAAATCCTAAATACCTCGCCGTAATAATCATGTAGAGACAAAAAGAGCAATTTTCCTTATTTCGTATATCCGTCCGGAAAAACATTCCAAACAAACTTTATTTAAACATCTTCATTATAACGTGCATAAAGTTGCAAAATACAATTTTGAGAAAAGTAAGCCGTGTTCCTCTTTGTTACACACTCAATATTGTAAAGTCAAAAACAAGCAGTACTTGAGTATTATCTGTTAGTTTACCGTCAACGATCATATTGGTGCTTCTGGCTTTTACAGTGAAATAATTTAACAATTAAATGTTGCATTTTTAAAACGAGTTACATAAAAAGATATATCATTCCTATCCGTTGTAAACTTTATTTTCTCTTTCCTCCTCATGGGTATTGTTGACTTTCTGCCAAATCGACCCTCTATCGTGATAGAGAACAACTAACTGAAATCAATTTTTCTAGTTTATTTTCGGCGCTGTTTTCACAGAAAGTCTAACGTTGTTGCTGTTGTTTTTTGTCTCCTAGAAAATGGCGATTTCGAAGAAGAACATCATGTGGCCAGACACAGGCCGGAGAGATTGGACGCCTTATGTAGAAATACTAACTTCAGCAGAAAGGAGATCCGCCTTATGTACCAGGGCTTTAAACAGGTTGGTTTTTATACTCGCCTTATGTACCAGGGCTTTAAACAGGTTGGTTTTTATATTCGCCTTATGTACCAGGGCAAAAAACAACCTGTTTAAAACCCTGGTACATAAGGCGAATATAAAAAACCAACCTGTTTAAAAAAAAAACAACCTGTTTAAAGCCCTGGTACATAAGGCGAGTATAAAAAACCAACCTGTTTAAAACCCTGGTACATAAGGCGAGTATAAAAAAACAACCTGTTTAAAGCCCTGGTACATAAGGCGAATATAAAAAACCAACCTGTTTAAAGCCCTGGTACATAAGGCGAGTATATATTCGCCTTATGTACTAGGGCTTTAAACAGGTTGGTTTTTTATTAATTAAGTCGAACTTATCTCTAATAGATAATATCACTTAATACTGCTAGAAGACACATGTTCGAATTAATAGAAGTAACTTTTCCAAAATAGATAAATTGAATGGTTTCCCTGGAATCTTTTATTACTCCTTGAACGTGCGCATGGAAGTGATAAAACGGATATATTGTTTATGTAACTAAAATTCAAGTTAATTATTTACTTAAAAACTTGGCTTTAAAGAGTCACCGTAGCTAATCATCATATGGTTTTTCTTTCCTCAAAAAATATCGTGCTGTAAAATGTTAAAGTATGTAAAAAACAAATTAATTATATCAAATTATACATAATGATTTTAAAAAGGGCTTTAGGTGTCTCAGAGTTAAGCCTCGAGGCATATAACACTACATTTAATAGTTCGATCCCCACTTTCACGTTGGTAGATGTGAAGCTTTGCATTAAATCAAACAAACAATGGTTTTAATGGGTTTCATTATTCCAGTAAAGAGGCTGAGTACGATGATTAATGAGTTTAAAACAAAGGTAATTAACCAAAAGCGGGAAGTTACATTATCACATTTTGTATACCATTATGAATGGAAGGTAAACTAGACTAACAAGTCCATTCTCTATAATAACCATTCCATAACCAGAGTTGAAATTTAAGAAAACTGTTTTATTTCTTATGATGTCATAACGAGAAATAAGTGGCCTGATTTAGACCCAAAACTTAATAGTATAACAAGATTATTGATAAATTTAATAGTGCTAGTACTTTGATCTTTCTGATAATTATTTTATTTATTTTATAATTTTCGCGTAGAACAATAAAATATTCAATAGTTGATTTAAGAAATATCATGATAAAACTTTTTGTGGGAATAATAAATGATCAAAAAGTAGGAGCAAAAAATACCTTTATTAGTGCAAGGTTAAATGTAGTTATTCTCACAAATACAATCCTGTTTATCGAGATATATAATGTGATTTATGTGTACTTCAATTGATGGCTTTCAGTAATAAATATGTGATGCGTGAAAAAAATGACCTAATGCTTAATCTTATTTTATTATGATAATATTTTATTATAATATTACATTACTACAAAATGTGATCTACTTCAAAACTGTGAGTACAGGATATGTTCATGTTTGTAAGGGTACTACAAAATGTGATCTAAAGCAAAACTGTGAGTACAGGATATGTTCATGTTTGTAAGGGTACTACAAAATGTGATCTACTTCAAAACTGTGAGTACAGGATATGTTCATATTTGTAAGGGTACTACAAAATGTGATCTACTTCAAAACTGTGAGTACAGGATATGTTCATATTTGTAAGGGTACTACAAAATGTGATCTACTTCAAAACTGTGAGTACAG